GAAACTTTTAAAAAATCATTCTTGTAAAAAAAAAAAGAAAAAAAAATTAAAATTTAATGAACCGTCACAGATGAGACAACATTACAAAGTATTAGATTTGATCATTCCTAGAATTATCGTCACATATTTATATAGTTTGTAAATATATTAAAATGTCAATTAATTTATAAATTCTCGACGTGGAAGCTAATAAAAATGTAGCATGAAGATCATATTTTCATTAGCAAAATCATATTCAAATTATTATTATTTTTTTTAGCCTCAACAAGAGAAACAGTTTAATTGGGTCATGACATTAAATTTCCAATGATTAATGCAATGGGCAATTACAAATTAATTAAGTAAACATGAGAAGTCTTCAATAAAAAGTCCATAGGATGTTAAAGCTCATTAGATTTTATTAAGAATGATGTTACTTGCAGTCGCTCACTGCAGCAATCGCCATATGTGGCACACAAATTAATGCATCAAATAATTACATGTCATATATGTGCCACATAGGGCGACTGCTGCACTGAGCGACTACAAGTAGCATTACTCTTTTATTAAGTGTAAAACAATGAAATGAATCCCACATTGGAACTTTAAAAGTTTTTAAACTTGTTCGTATAGTGGTGTACCTTTTAGAGATAATAATTTGATACTACATTAATGCCCATTTGCGTTCACGAATGAGACCCGGTGTTACAACCTGTAGCCCTGTGGGCCCCGGCCCTGATCTCGCATACACAATAAAGGTCACAAATTTACTTTAGAGGCTCACTTTTTCGCATGTACATATCGTTTCGAGGAATTGAGGAACCTTACAAATTTCAGAAAGGAATCATGGTTCAATGACGTGGTAGATAGTGAGTCCATGAATTGGCGCTCGGGTGGCAGTGAAAGTTGTACGGTTATGGTGTCTTCAGGGAAAAAGATGCGACAATTGTAAATCGAAACCAAAAAGTACACCCATTCTCAAGAGATACTTAAAATCCATAAAATGGGAACCATTATTCGGTGAATCCTACACCAAATCAATTGCAAGTTAAGAATTGATTTCTAATTCTCTCATCTCTAAGAAAGATAATTATGTCCATTTTAATTGCTGAAATAAATTTTTGTTCGACAAAAAGGGTTTTATTCCTGAAAATAATTTGAACGGATTTTTGGGCACAATTTAAGAGATTAGGAATGGCATGTAGCAGTCTCAGCTAGTTGGCAAAATTTTGGGCACACGAGATTAGGAATCCCAAACATGAGATCCAGATAAAGAAAAATCAATCGTGTGTTTC